CTGTGGTACATATACACCATGGAATATTACTCAGCCATTAAAAAGAATTCATTTGAATCAGTTCTAATGAGATGGATGAAACTGGAGCCCATTATACAGAGCGAAGTAAGCCAGAAAGATAAAGACCACTACAGTATACACACATATATATGGAATTTAGAAAGATGGTAACGATAACCCTATATGCAAAACAGAAAAAGAGACTCAGATGTATAGAACAGACTTGTGGACTCTGTGGGAGAAGGCGAGGGTGGGATGTTTCAAGAGAACAGCATCGAAACATGTATATTATCTAGGATGAAACAGATCACCAGCCCAGGTTGGATGCATGAGACAAGTGCTCGGGCCTGGTGCACTGGGAAACCCAGAGGGATCGGGTGGAGAGGGAGGTGGGAGGGGGGACCAGGATGGGGAATACATGTAAATCCATGGCTAATTCATTTCAATGTATGACAAAAACCACTGCAATATTGTAAAGTAATTAGCCTCCAACTAATAAAAATAAATGGAAAAAAAAATAAAAAAAAATAAATTCACTGAGGAATTTAAGTCTCCTGCTAAGTCTCCTCCTGCTCTGTCCTGAGACCAGCAACACTGTTGACCAAGATCACTCTGTCATCCTGGGACCCAGAACCAAGACAGTGTGGACTACATTTAATTTAACTCATGCCTTCGATCGACAGACTTTTACGGAGCGTGGACAGCGGGTGGGTACTTTTGTGTGTCGGCAAACAGGCTCACACGGTCCTCAATCAGAACTGTTTCCTTCCCACCTCATGCCTCCTGAACCACGTGTAACAGCAACACAGTTCATCCTCCAGTTAGCGAGGAGAAGTGGGATTTGAGATGGGCATTCAGAGACCTGCTGTGCATTTTGGTTATCGGCCTGCTCACCTCAACCAATTGTCCCCTAAGCTCCTCCTGGGGGTACAGCCCAGCTCTTCTCGGTGGCTTCACTACTGAGCGGAAACCAGTTCTCCATGACTGAATCGCATGCCCTCAGATGTGCGGGAAGAGGTTGAACCACACGCATCGATCATCACACGATGGTGATGAAGGGCCTGGGTTCTGCAGTCAGGTTTCAAAGCCTGCAAAGTAGGTTGGAGCCTCCCTATGCTGTGGTGGGTCATCACCGCTCTCCAGATGCTCGGTTATGCCCTGCGCTGGTCCCCCCTAAGGAAAAATGATTCTTCTCTGCCCTGCTGAGCTGAGTGGCCCCATGACCCGCTTCGGCCAGTAGGGGGAAGGGATCTGTGCCACTTCCTGCTAAGGCCCCTTCTGCTCTGCCCTGAGACCAGCAACACTGTTGACCAAGATCACTCTGTCATCCTGGGACCAGGACAGTGTGGACTAAAGCCACAGCTGACCTGAAAGAAATGCACCTTTTTCTTGCTGTAAGCCATTGACACACGGAGGTCATCTGTTACCACAGCAAAACCTAGCCTATCCTGATGGACAGAGCCACTTACTAATCTCGGGATTAGGTACAAATAACTCATCCTGTCTGAGTTCCCTCATTCATGAAGAGGGGCTAATAATAGCCCTGAATTCCCAGGGGTACTGGGGGGGCTAAAGGAGAGAGTCCACACATGGTGACTGGCAAGCTGTAGTGATTCAGTGTGTGTATTGCTCTCATTGTTCTTTCCACGGTTGCGATACTTTCCTCAACACAGGCTGGAGATATACTTTGGCCCTGAACTGCTGGCACCATCTGGGGCAAATGGGAAGGCTGGAAATGAGTTGCTTTCAGCAGAGTTCAAGGCCTGAGGAGAAATTCCAGCTGCCGGGAGAACATACAAGAGGAACACGCAGGGGCCATGAGCAGCTGGCTCTGCAGATCGACTAGCAGTATCTGGTCCAACAGTCGCTGCCTGGGAAACGCTCTGCAAACGGGGGGCAGAGAGGTTTCAGCCCAGCTCTGCCAGGAGCTCACCAGCTCACCCGATTTTTCTGAGCTTCAGTTTTCTCACTTCGGGACTGGAAAAGATGATAGCCCCAGAAGGTGACCAGCGTCAGCAGGAGGATAATATAACCGTGACTGTCTGCCCCAGTTTCTCCCTCCCTCCTAGCTCCTCCTCTGCCTTGAGGATGGGGTCACTTCTCCAGCGGGACACTCAGGCCCCCTGGGACCTGCCCCTGCCTTCCTCACAGCCTCATGGGTCATCAATTCACTTTACCCTCCAGAAACACTAAACTGCCTGCAGGCACAGCTCCTACGCCTCAGCCCTGCGTTCCTGCTGCCCCTTGGCTGCCAAGGACCTTCTCACCTTTCTTTGTCTGGATAAACACATTACTCACCTTCCCAGAGTCGTCTCCTCCAGGAAGCCTGCCCTGAGCCTCAAGGTTGCCTAACTGCTCCTATCCCAAACTTCCCTAACCCTCTGTACTGTATTAGTCTGGAATTCTAAACCATTGATTTTCAAAGGGTAGGCTCTGGATCAACCACATCAGGATCCCCAGTGGGGAGCTGTTAAAAGCACTACTTCCTGGGTGAGGAAACTACTTGCGACAAGCTCTCTGGTTATCTCAAGTTTGAGAATCGCAGGGGTGAACCTTCAGGACACAGATCAAACCTTTCCTGCACTCCACCCTCAGTGGCTGGCCCTGGGACTGGCACCCGATGGGGCTCAGAAGATGCTCCTCGGAAAGAAAGATTTGGAGGTGAACATCTCACTGCAGTGATCTATTGCCCTGTTCATCGTCCATGTCTATGAAAGCCAGAGGGCACATACATTTTGGCTAAATAAAATATTTAGCCAGAGTTCAGGCCACTCACCATCAAGAATGAAACTTCTGGGATATTAGAACAAATCCCAGGGAGGTCCCTGCCTGACTGAATTTAAACAAGAGGAGATACTGGCTGTGAGTCACATCTCCGATGCTCCCGTACTGGGAAGTGAGAATTCAGAGCACGACATTAAATCCAAACGAAGCCTTGTTCCTATTCCTGACTTTGCCTGCTGGTGAGGCGCCATGGCCGCCTGTGCCATCACAGAGCCACTGGCCACACTCACGACCTGGGATGCCGGAAGTGACCTTGAGCTGGAGTTCAGGCAGCCTCCCAAAGACAGAAGTGAAAGTCGCTCAGTCGTGTCCAACTCTTTGCAACCCCATGGACTATACAGTCCATGGAATTCTCCAGGCCAGAGTACTAGAGTGGGTTGCCTTTCCCTTCTCCAGGGGATCTTCCCAACCCAGGGATCGAACCCAGGTCTCCTGTGTTGCTGGTGGATTCTTTACCAACTGAGCTGTCAAAGGCCGAAGCCAAAAATGCAGATTAGGGCTAAATCCCAGGCTGAAGTCACAGCTACCTTGTGAGGAGCAGACAACCACACTGCTCATCTCATGGCCCCACAGAGAAATTTCCCTCATGGCCACCTTATCTCCCGTGAGAGGGGGTTCCTCCCGCTTTTCTGTCCTCATTGTCACCCTTCTTGTTTTTTCCAGAATTATTTCTTTATGACTGCGCTGGGTCTTCATTGCTGTGAGCGGGCTTTCTCTAGTTTTGGAGAGTGGGGGGCTACTCTCCAGATGTGGGGCGCAGCTTCTCACTGCAGCGGCTTCCCTTGCTGCGGACCCCAGGTGCGAGGTTCTAGGGGCACTGGCTTCAGTAGCTGCACATACTTGTGGCTCTCGAGCCCTGGAGGGGGCTGAGTGAGGCACACGGGCTTAGCTGCCCCGCAGCACATGGGATCTTCCCACACCGAGGACAGAGCCCGTGACCCCTATGTTGGCAGGTGGATTCTTATCCACCATACCACCAGGAAGTCCACCCTTTTCTTTTTTTCTTTTTAATCACTTTCTCCAGTCAACAGAGAGGGGATGCTTATCTCTGGGGAGTCTAGAGACACATTCCGAGTAAAAGCTCAGAAAGCCCATAGAAGAATGATCTTTGCTGGCTTCTTCAGAACTAAGGAGGAAACGGGGTTCCCAGCCACGCCTGGAGGGGATGCAGTGAGTGATGTTCAGACTGGATAAGGAAGCTGAATCGGACAGTGTCTCCGATCACCTGGGCACCCTGGGCGAGTGACGTCACCCTCTGACCTTGCGTTCCTTTCTCTGCCAAAGCCTCAGGGGACTGCAGCGAAACTCTAACGAGCCGGTATCTTGTACCGGCATCGAGAGAGCACTCAGTAAAGGTTAGATGTGGACCACATTATTGTGATGGGCTCGGCATCAACCTCCAGCCTGGCAGTCACTGTTTACTATGTGCCAGGGACTGTTCCAAGCTTTTGATAAGAATGAATTAATTTAACCCTCTGGACAGCCCTATGACGGAGATACGATCACTATCCCTGTGCTAGAGACTAAGACACTCAGGCACAGAGAAGTGAAGTCCCCCAACCAGCAGGGGAGGTTCGGATGGCCGCAGGGTTCAGACAGGCCCCAGGGACAGAGAGGTGGGGACATCGCACTCTGAACCCCAGCTGCAAAGGACCGCCCCTGGGTGCCAAGAAGCTCACCTTGCAGAAACACAAAACCTCAGGGGTAAAAGACACCTACACGCAATTCGATCCTCTTCTTGGACAGGTGAAAACACGGGTGCTGATGCCAGAGAGGGAAAGCAATGGGCCCAGGGCCACAAAGACTCATCAGCAGAGTCAAACAGAGAACCAGGCTGCTTGGCTGACCAGTCCCTGGGCTTTCCCTGGGTCCCAGATTCTTTCAGAGACCACAGATGGAAACTAGAGGTCACCAAAGTCCCTAAAATTTAGTTTCAAAAATGACACCTGTGGAGTATTTCCCCAAGAAGGTGGCCCCACACTGAAATAACAGCAATGTTGTTGCAGTCTCCAAGTTGTGTCTGACTCTTTGCAACCCCATGGACTGCAGCACGCCAGGCCTCCCTGTCCTTCACCATCTCCCAGAGCTTGCTCAAACTCATGTCCATTGAGTCAGTGATGCCATCCAACCATCTCATCCCCTGTTGTCCCCTTTTCCTCCCACCCTCAATCGTTTCCAGCATCAGGGTCTTTTCCAGTGAGTTGGCTCTTCATATCAGGTAGCCAGAGGATTGGAGCTTCAGCTTCAGCATCTGTCCTTCCAATGAATATTCAGAGTTGATTTCCTTAAGGATGGACTGGTTTATCTCCTTGCTGCCCAGGGGACTCTCAAGAGTCTTCTTCAGCACAATTTGAAAGCATCAATTCTTTTGGTATGTTAGCAGATGTTGATATTTATCAATTAGTAACTTTGTGCAGAGCTTCCCAGGCCAATGCAGGAGATGTAGGAGACATGGGTTCAGTCCCTGGGTCATGAAGATCCCCTGGAGGAAGAGGGCGTGGCAACCCCCTCTAGTATTCTTGCCAGGAGAATCCCTATGGACAGAGGAGCCTGGCAGGCTAGAGTCCATGGGGTCACAAAGAGTCAGACACGACTTGGCAACTGAACACACACACACAACTCTGCAAGGCCTGCTCGAAGCACTGTGCATATGGAAACTTCACTTAAGCCCCACATGAACCCTTTGAAGAGGGTGCTATTATTATCCCCATTTGCATGTGAGGAAACTGAGGTTCAGAGAAATTAATTAACTTGCTCAGGATCACATGGCTGGTAAGTGGCAGAGGTGGGCTGTTTCACAACTTCTGATCTGGCATGACTGGTATTCTCGGAACAGAACCTCTGGGTAATACGTTTTTTCTGACAACAGATTTCCAAACAATCCTCAAGAGTTTCTTTCATTTCAAGACATACTTGAAATGGTACAAATGTCCAACATATCCAAAGGTTCTGGGCAGCCCTTGTGACTATGGTCACTGGCCTGGGTCCAGGTTTTTCTTTACTGACACAGCTCTGGGAGTCAAAACAAGGCTATTTTAGGGTTATTTCGACAGATTAACTTTCCTTCTTTCTCAAGGAAACAACCCCCTCCCTTTGCCCTACAAACCCGGGGCGGGGGCAGGGCGGATCCAGTTCTGAGCTTGGCTTCAAAGCTAAATTCTCAGCTGGGTTGAACTGGCACAGTCTGGCTGCTCAAAGAAAGCCTTCGTGGCTGAACAAAACTCAAGGCTGGGAGATGTGCCTGGTTGCAAGGAGCATGCAGTTAGGCTGTGATTGGGACTGATCTATTACTCTGGGATCAGATCCTGTGTAGGGTGTTCGACAAAGAGCTGAGGTCTGGCCAAGTTTGCCAGGAGAATTTCCCTCGACACACACCTGACCACACAGAGAGCAAAGCCCATCAGCCTTGGCAGGCATGGGGGAGTGTGGGGAAGGTAAGGACTCCTGGGTTTGGAACCCTTGCCGCGTGCCAGCCCTGGGCCAAGCACTTGATAATACAATTGTGTGTGTTTTCCAGAACGACCCTAGGAGGGTGTTATTCTCATTCCTATTCTACAGATAAGAATATTATGGCTTAGAGAAAGGGGGGCCACCTGTCCAAGGTCAAAAAATAAAACAGGTGTCAGAAGCCTGGCCACTCTGACCCATGGACAGGGTGTCATAAGAGCTGACGCGCAGTGGGCTGTCAGGGCCACAGGCTGTTAAAGGCACAGACTCAGGGCTCTGAGTGATCATCCGCTCCATCCCCCTCTCCTACAGACGAGGGTGGAGGCCAGAGAGGGCAAGTGACGTGCTAAGGTCACCAGCAAGTCTGGGCTCCACCGGGATTCTCCATTCAGGGTCTCTCAATGGGTGGAGGTCCACTGGAGTGGAAATCCGAGATTCCAGACAGGCGGGCGGAGGGGCAGACTGGACTCTGCTATCTGAGAAGTGGAAGGCCTCTGTTCCCGACAGGCGGGGCCAGGGCCACCGGGCTCCTTACTCAGAGTCCTCCTCTCTGGTTTCCTTCAGGCTCTCGAGGAAGGTCTCTTCCAGGAGGTCCAGCTCCTCCAAGGGTGCTCGGAGGAGGGAGGCCATGTGGCAGATGAGGACGCGGGCCCGAGCATCGTAGCATCCTCGAGAGAGAGAGAGAGAGAGAGTAGGGGGTCAGTTCAGCTCCCAAGCACAGAGATGTTCACCACAGTATGATGGATGAGACCCAAACCCGAGACGCGTCCCAGACGCAGGGCGCCCCCGACAGCCGGCCCATTTAACAGGAGCACAGCTTCTGGGGCAGAGCAGTGTGTAACTATTACAAACGTGAATCAGAAGCAAGGTGGCGTTTTTCACTGGCCAAATTAGCAAATTTCAAATGTTCACATCCCAAAGCTGTTTAAGGAGGTGATGTCATGATTCAAACCAAATCCCACTCCACACTGACTACTAGGCCCCTGGCCCACTCCATGACCTCACCTTCTAGAATGTTCCTGCTACAGGGCCTTTGCTCTTGGGCTGTTGCCACCACTTGGGAGGCTTGTTCCCCTGATCTTGTGGGTCTCCTTCTCCTCCTTCAAGTCCCTGTTCCAACGCCCCCTGTCCCAGAGTGGCCTTCCTGACCCCGACACACATCACTCCACCCCTCTGCCTTGTGTATCGTTCCACACAGAGCTTGCCCAAGTCTGACATCATTTACTTTTGTTTTGTCTCTCCCCATGAAGCATAAACCCTGTATGTATAAACCTGTGTGTTCTCTAGTCCTTAGGAGAGCACCTGACATAAAGAATAAATGTTCAGTTAATGACCCAGGTAGGGGTCATTCGCCTTCGCTCAGGTAGAAGTAGAAATTGTGACAGTCATCTCACAAAGTTTCAAGCAGAGGACTCCGGGCCCACGAGGAGCCCTCTATGAATACTGCAGAACCAGCCTCCTCTGCTGGGCGTCTGTAATGCTGCGTGGTACTTCTGCAGTCCTCCCCGGAACGAGGAGCCTCAGAGCGAGCTGCGGTCTGGCAGCACTTGTCCCACTGCCCTCAGCTGCCTCCCTGGAGGCAGATCTGGCTGCATGCTGGGAAACAGCAGGTCACGTCTTGGGGTTACTGATCAGCTGATGTTCCAAGAATAAGGGAGCTCCCTGCTCCCTCCTAGGATCACAGACCATTGAACGTAGGTCATAATGAAGCTGTGGAAATTAATAAGCCTTGGCCATGGTGATTAATTGCTGGTGATGATAATCAGCCATTAATTCAGACTCCACTGGTCAAGGCTGCCGTGATTCAGTTTCTGGAATATAAAGTGCCAGGTGCCAGGTGATTAAAAGCTTCCAAGGTATTCTTGAGCAAGGGACTCTGGAATGTCAGCCTCGTGGACGGGTCATATCAAGGACCTTGACAGCCAGACTGCTGGACTTGGAGCTGAGTTTCTACTTCAGGCAGGTGGTGAGTGGGGGGTGGGGGGCGGTGGCAGGAATCCCGGGCTACCCAGGACAACTTGCCAGGCAACTGACTGACTCCTTAAGGGCCAATCCATCCTGTCTCAATAAAGAGCCCAACCTGGGGCTCAGGCCAAAAGCCTGGACATCATTCTTGATTTTTCTTGTCGCCCTTCCCCTGACACCCAGGATACCAGGTAATACTGACAGCTGCCCCTCCAAAACGCACCCTGAGTCTGAGCGCAGCGCCCCATCTCTGCTGTCACGGCCACTGGGACAGCCGCAGCGCTTCACCAGCCACCTCACTTTCACCCTTGCCCCCACACTCTAGTTGCCACATAGAGCTTGAAAGATAAAAGTCACAAATGTGGGAGGTTCTCTTCCCCGACTTGAAACTCCACAATGCACTTGGAATAAAATCCACAATTTCCCCCCCATGGTCTGCAAGGCTGTACACCATCTGACCCCTTCCTACCACCGTCTCCCACCTCATGTTCTACTGGTCCCTATTTCACACACCAGGGTTTGTCCCACCAAGAAGACAAGCTCATTCCTGCCCCGGGGCCTTTGCACTTGTTCTAGCTAGCAAACCCCTGATCTCAGAAGGTCTGGGGCACTCGTGCCTAGAGGCAGCAGTATGATGAAGACTCCTCCTCCTGCGACCTCTGCAGGGAAGGAAACTAGCATCCAGGGTGCTCCTGAAAATGCCGGGCGCCACCCGACAGGCTTGCAGTCGTGACTGCTAATCCTCCCAATTGTGAAATTAAGAGACACCTGCTCCTTGGAAGAAAAGCTACGACAGACAAACGAAGACAGCATATTAAAAAGTAGAGACATTACTTTGCCAACAAAGGTCTGTCTAGACAAAGCAAGGGTTTTTCCAGTGGTCATGTGTGGATGTGAGAGTTGGACCATAAAGAAAGCTGAGCACTGAAGAATTGATGCTTTTGAACTGCAGTGTTGGAGAAGACTCTTGAGAGTCCCTTGGACTGCAAGGAGATCAAACCAGTCCATCCTAAAGGAAATCAGTCTTGAATATTCATTGGAAGGACTGAGGCTGAAGCTGAAGCCCCAATACTTTGTCCACCTGATGTGAAGAACTGACTCCTTGGAAAAGACCCTGAGGCTGGGAAAAGTCTGAAGGCAAAAGGGGAAGCGGGTGGTAGAGGAAGAGATGGTTAGATGGCATCACCGACTCAATAGACATGAATCTGAGCAAACTCCAGGAGATATTAAAGGACAGGGAAGCCTGGCGTGCTGCAGTCCATGGGGTTGCAGAATCAGACATGACTTAGCGACTGAACAATACCATCCTAGGCAGAGCCCGAGGCTATGGGCCACAGGCACACATACAAATGACCCCGCACCCAGGCAGTCTATTCTCTGGAAAATCTTGGAGGGGGACACGAACTCTGCCCTGAGCTGAGCCGGAGTAACACCAGCCTTCAGCTGCTGGGCAGCTCCAGTGCCCACCCCAGTCTCCACCCTTGGAGTCCAGCTGGTCCCTCTGGCCTAGGAGGAGCAAGGGACAAGTTCAAAGTCACCCAGAGTGTTTGGACAGACCCAGGGTTAGAACTCACACCCCTGGGCTCCTTCTCTCGCCCTTATCTCAACAGAGAAGCTACTGTACTTTGAACCTCACCGTCTAACACTGTGCTGTGCATTAAGGGTGAACAGCACCCGTGAAGCGTGGCACTCAATGCCAGGTGCACCCCAGGCACGATAAGCCCCACCTTCCCTGCATAGCCACAGGCGCCTCCTCGGGGGTACACCCTCAGCAGGACAACCCCCACCGCCAGGCACTGAACCAGCCCCTGCTGCCAGCATGGCTCTGAGTTCGAAGCTGGGGTGACCAGCCTGGGGTTGACCATGCCTCCCCGGGGAGAGCAGCAGCATCCCAGACCTTTGGGAAGAGACCACTGCCAAGCCCTTCCCTTGGAGGGGGGGTGGTGCTGCCCTCAAGACCAAAGGGAAGGAACCCAGGCAGAAACAGGCAGTTGCCATGCAGACTGGCATTTGAAGGTCCATCTGATTACCTTTAGAGCTAAACGGCTTCAGACAAGTTTCTTGACCTCTCTGAGCCTCAGTTTCCTCATCTGTACCATGGGGACAAGACTATCTTTTTAATCTGGCTTTTGTTGAGATGCAATGAGAAGACATATGTGATGAACCTGGCCAGCACCTAGGATGCAGTAAGTGGTCAAGTGTGAAAGTGAAAGTGTTAGTCGCTCAGTCATGTCCGACTCTCTGCGACCCCATAGATTGTAACCCACCAGGCTCCTCTGTCCGTGGGATTTTCCAGGCAAGAACAATGGAGTGGGTTGCCATTCCCTTCTCCAGGGGATCTTCCTGACCCAGGGATTGAACCGAGGTCTCCTGAACTGCAGGAGGATTCTTCACCGTCTGAGCCACAACGTGGCTCTATAAATTAGTCCTCAGATAAAGGTGGCTGGAAAGTGGAAGTGTTAGTCATTTCATCTTGTTCAACTCTTTGCCACCCACGGACTGTGGTCAAGAAAGGGTGGCTGACAGCACCCTTTTCATGATAAATAGTCGTGTTTCCTAGATCCTTGGATGCTAGGAAGCAAGGACTGCTGGGGTGAGGCTGTGAGCTGCTGAGTCAGCCTGGGGACCTGTCTCACCGCTCCCTTAGGGTCCGAGGTCACTCTCAGGCCACGTTCACACAGCCACTTGCCCAGCCCACCGCACTGCCATCCCTCGATGGACCAATTTTTCTTTTTCTTCTTTTTGCTGTGCCATGTGGCTCGAGGGATCTTAGTTCTCCAACCAGGGATTGAACCTGGGTCCCAGCAGTGTAAAGCGCTGAGTCCTAGCCACTGAACTGCCAGGGAATTCCCCCAACTCTTCTCTTCTTATTTTCTATTTATTTATTTACTTGGGCTGAGTCTTAGCTGTGGCATCCGGCATATAGGATCGCATTTCCTTGATCAGGGATCGAACCTAGTCCCCCTACATTGGGAGCGTGGATTCCTAGCCACTGGACCACCATGGAAGGCCTCCCCCTAACTTTTCTAATTGTACATGTTACATAGCATTCGGAATATTAATACCCAGTTTCACCCTCAGTGAAATTTTTTCATGCAAAGAAACCACACCTACCTCCAGTCCCATGCCCCCGGGGCCCCCACACGGGGTGCTGGGCTGACTTACAAGTCAGGGTGTTCACACTGGTGGGGAGAGCGTGGCTGGAGGGTGGGGCTTCTAAGATGCTCCCTGACTCAGGGCAGGACTTGACCTCAGATGGTTCCGGGTATGACTCCTGCCTGTCCGCGGCTCGTTCTGGGGGGACAATGAGGGACGCTCGGGTGGCAACAAACGTAGTTCAAGGCCAGTGGTCCTGGGAGCCGAGGGGGCTCTTCTGAGACCTTCCTCCAGCTCCACCTTCTTAGGTGCCGGCCCGTCTGGCCGCTCCTCCGGACCCTGCCACATGGGGTGCTCGCTCGTGATTCTGGCCTCATCGAATCCCCTTAGAGGCAGCTGTAAGGACGAGGGCTCCATCACTTCATCTTCTCGTGGGAAGGGGAACACCAGTCAAGAGGGCACGCTGGGGATCTTCCCTGGTGGGTCCAGTGGTTAAGACCCCAAGCTTCCACTGCCGGGGGCATGGGTTCGATCCCGGGTAGGGGAACTAAGATCCCGCATGCTGCATGGCCAAAGATAGGAGTAGACTCTGGAACCACAATGCCTG